GAAAGTATTTTTTGGAACAATTTCAACGAAATCACGTGCAATTCCCGATTACTACGAATTAAACTTTTAATTTCAATACCTGTGTGATGCAAGTGAAAGATCATTATTTATTCATACAATACAATTTGATTGCGAATCAACAATATGCGAGTGTTGAAATTGAGGAAAATTCTCTAGGGAACTTTGGCACATACATAGAATTCAGCACTGAGCAGAAATGTTTTGCATTTTTACTGTAAACGACCGAATTCATAAATATCTTCCAGCAAATAAAAAGTTTGAATCGAATAAATTCAGTCGCTACTTGAAACCGCAACTTTTGGGTAGAAAATTGAATCTGGATAAAGAACAACACATTAATTACTACAAGTATGTATTTCCAGCCCTATTTGTCTCGGCCATTGAGGCTGAAGACCGCTGAAGACAAAATGGAAAAGCAAAACAATGAATTTGTTAATATTGTTTGTAATGGTGCAGTGGCAGTATAGTAGGCGATCAAATCCTACCATCAAGGAGAAATTGTCGGCCTTGTTTCTTGACCTAGAAATTTCAAGACACACATAAGACAAGGACGTTAAAACGCTGAAGTCGTCCGAAACGAGATCAGTACTGAGCGTGCGTATTGCACGTTTGGTATTTATTTTGCCATTGTAGTTGGCGTGAAAAAAATGTCTTCGAGCCGACAGCCTTTTAGAGAAATCGACGGGACGATCTATTGAATATTGAATAAGCACACCTCCATTGTAAACATTCAGGCAGAATAATGTTCATTCGAACCCGCAATCAAGCGAGCATCATGCAGTTTTTATGAGTCGTTAGAAAACGCCAGAAATTGGGGGTTTGCTTGAAACAGAAGGACTTTCAAATAAGCGCTACTGAACTCTTAAAACTTCCATTCTAGGGATTTCTAACCATGAAAAAAACGTCCTGTTTCAGCATTTATATAAACATTCCAAATAATAATTGTAACAATTAAAATTGTTTTTCTTTTTTGTCAAATGTTGCTGCAAAATTAAAACCCATCGGACCATTGTCCCGATGTTTCCATAAACATTATTTCTTTGAAGATCTTTGATCATTAACAAGTTAGGTTGCATGGTCTTGATTTAACCCAAAGAATATCTCTGTGCCCTTTTGATCATGTGCTAACGGGACCCTTTATATCACCCTAAGAAGGCTTTTTGATGTTCAAGAACTTGTTTTTAGCGAAGCAATTTTCAAGTGGAGGTTGGGAATTAACGACTAAGCCTTTGAAAGAATCCGCAATTTGTGGAACTTTCTACATTTATTTGACCACTTCAGTAAGCGAACAGTTCAGAATGGTGGCTTTTACTGTATCTGAGGTAAGGAAAAAGGATAAGACATGAATAGACTAAACCATCCACCGATTGGCAGGTAAAAGGATTTCGAAAAAGTAAAAATATATGTTTGTTAAAATAATAACAACTATATTAAAATAGACAATCCTGCAAAATAACCAAAAACGAGTTACAACGTTACGCAGCTGCTTTAATGGCCGCGGCAGCAAAAAACTTGGAATAAATAGTATCTTAAAACGTACATATAGAGATGAGAAGAGGCGGGTATTTAAATACTTTTCAACTTATTTGTACTGTAAAAATCTGGATAGAGTCTCTGAGAGAGAATTTGAAATCGATCTACAAACACAATAAATGCGATTGCTACTAGACTCTATAAGGATGCAATGTATCTCCTCAGCTCTTCCTGCGTATCGAAAATCATCACATGGAAGGGGGATCCAGGGACTAACTCCCCTGCCCATTTCACTTCCACTCGGTAATCGCCTGGTTCAGTCGGATCAAACTGAAAAAACAAAATGCAAAATCATCAAAAATGCGAATTTTTGCGCTGCAAATAGGTGCCTCCGCCCATGGACTTACTTTGCAAAGAATCGTTCGATCTTTTTGGCTTTCTCGTTGCATTTCCACCCGGAAAGCCCCCTTAGGGCCGCGCACTCTTACTGTCAGCTGCCCGGCTCCCGCTCCTCTTGTATCGCAGATGAATCGCGACTGGAAAGTTGCCAGCACTCCATGTTCTATGCCTGGACCATACACGCGAACCTACACCAAAACCATTCCCATATAAAAATAAACATGTTCCACTGAGTCTGGATATCCTGGTCGATCCAGGATATCCTCACATACCTTGCTAGCATCCGGTGCTCCAGCGACTTTCAAAATAAAGGGCGAGCCTTGCACGTGCTGCCCAGCATACTTGATGGTCAGCTGATGCTTGCCTGGCTCCTGCGGCTTAACGTTCAACGTAAAGGTGGCGTCTCCATGGTCGTAGAGCTCGCAGTAGGCGACTTTTCTGGGTCCAGCGCAATGGGCGGTCAATTCCCCAGGGCCGGCACGCCTAGTGTCAATCCAAGACCGGATTTCCCGGCCTACAACTCCTTGCCGGAGGCCTTCGCCCGAGCAGAGCACTTTGGATGCATCGGCCCCTCCTTTGGCTTCCACCATTAGCGGACAGCCTTTGACTGGGCGTCCAGCCCACAGGACGGACAGCAGATAGTTTCCAGGCGTGTTGATGGTGTAGGAGGCTCGCCAGACTTTTTCGCCCGCCAGACTAATCATTACTGGCACTGGGATGTTGGTGTCGGCGGCATGGAGAGTCACCTCGGGATTGCCTGGATCGCACCACATTGAACTGATTCCGTTCCGGTCTCAACTGCTCCCTTGCTTACCTGAATGGGATTTGGAGCCGTCAATAGTAAACACTGCGGGCTCACAGCACTTGGCCTCGGCCAGGCCTCTCCCAGTCAACACTACTTGATCGCCAAGCGTTACAGCAGTCGTGGGGGCATCAGGCAACTCAACATTGGCGAACTTCACCTCAAAATCATGCTCTCCAGAGTTCAAGCCTTCACCTACACTCATTAGATTATACTTAAACCTCCATCCCTGCAATCCCTCCATCTACAGATCAGCACCTACCTGATATGTCAAATCGAACTCGAGACCCGCTCTTTTCCGGGTTGATTTTGCGCCCAGCCACTTTGCACTCCAACAGGCCCGGACCGGCATTGGCAACGTCGAAAGCCAACTTTGCCGGTAGTTTGATCTTCCCAGAGTCCTCCAGGTATTGGGTCCAACCGCCTATTAATCGAACTGCTTCCGGGTCTGTTACGTTCGGTCTAAATGGCGACCCGGGCAGCTAAAGAGCTTGTTGATAAGACTAATTGAATACAATCGCTGAAAATTGCTTACATCGTTCGGGCCAACACCAATAATCACATCATAAGTTCCAACCCATTTGGGCATGTACGTTACGGTATATTCGCCTGGTTTGGGGCTCTGTATGTGGGCGTCAATGTTGCCCTCAACAGCCTCTATGGTGACTCTGGGCTGTACCACGCTGCTAACTGTAAAGGTGGCCCTTTCGCCCACTTGCGCGTGCTCCAGGCCCTTGCCTACTGCTCTAGGGGGAGGAGTGGGGCCGACTGGACCCACTCCAAGAGCCAGAGGCGAGCCTTTCACGGCAACACCGCCTGAAAAAGTTGCCTCAAATGCTGCCTAGCCAGGTTGTGTTGAACCTTACCATACATAACTGTGACTTGATATAGACCGGCAGAGCTGGGCAGGAAGCTGATTTGGGACAAGTTTTCAGCCAAGGACATTTCTTGAGTGGCCAGCGTTTGCCCAATAGGATTGGTTGCTTGCACCTCCAAGTCAGCGACGCCTGCGTTCTTAGTCAGCACTGAAAATTGCGCAAGTTCAGTTTGATTTTTCGGGCGTTTCGCTGTGTAACAGCGGGAAATTGTTTTTGAATGATGAACTTCTTGTGGCATGGCGTGACTCGGTTGGAATGCGTTACGGCGCCGTTATGTCTGGTCATCCCCACCCTGCGGTCTCTTGCTTTCTCTCTCGCACGCACACGGCCACTCAGCTACGTTCCAGTGATCCAAACTTGATTTTTTTGGATTCCGACCTGCTTTTTGCTGTTAAAATCCCAGTGTGCCTCCTCAGAAAGGAAACATGGCATTTTGCTTACCATTGAAAACGATCCTTTCACCAACATTTCCTTGGGAGGTGGGGATGTCGACGATCCGCACGTTTTCCGGATCGCAGGCTTGGCAAACGAAGGGACTGCCATTAAGGGGCTTGGCCTGATGCAGCACCTCCACTTTATGTGCACCAACATCTCGCGCAGTAAATTCAGCCTGGAGTTTCCCAGTTTTGGTTTGATAGCAACGGACTGGGACCGCCGAACCAGTCGGCCCACTCACTACCACATCGAATTCTCGAGCGGATCTTCCCAACGTGTCTATTTGGAATGAGGTCACCCTGCCCACTTTGGCCTGATACAAACCTGCGACAATTTATCGGGGTCGGTATCATTACTCCATGACCAATGTTCTACATATATGATATTATTATCTTTCCTGGGTCTCAGTCAAAGTGTGAAGTAATTTTTTTTTAAATTCGTTTATTTCATTACGCTTCCGCGAGACAACAGCGCCATCATCAGATTTAAAATTTACACAAACTCATGATTGCTAAAAATCAACGTTCTTTTAGGTCTTTGTCTTCTTGAAACCTTAAATTTGTCTCTTAATTACGCTTCGGCGAGACAACAGCGCCATCATCAGATTTAAAATTTACACAAACTCATGATTGGTAAAAATCAACGTTCTTTTAGGTCTTTGCCTTCATGAAACCTTAAATTTGTCTCTTTATTAAGTTTCGGCGAGACAACAGCGCCATCATCAGATTTAAAATTTACACAGACTCATGATTGCTAAAAATCAAAGTTCTTTTAGGTCTTTGCCTTCTTCAAACCTTAAATTTGTCTCTTTATTACATTTCGGTGGGACAACAGCGCCATCATCAGACTTTGCCTTCTTGAAACCTTAAATTTGTCTCTTTATTACGTTTCGGCGAGACAACAGCGCCATCATCAGATTTAAAATTTACACAAACTCATGATTGCTAAATATCAACGTTCTTTTAGGTCTTTGCCTTCTTGAAACCTTAAATTTCTCTCTTTATTACGTTTCGGCGAGACAACAGCGCCATCATCAGATTTAAAATTTACACAAACTCATGATTGCTAAAAATCAACGTTCGTCTGCGAGAGACAAATTTAAGGTTTCAAGAAGGCAAAGACCTAAAAGAACGTTGATTTTTACCAATCATGAGTTTGTGTAAATTTTAAATCTGATGATGGCGCTGTTGTCTCGCCGAAGCGTAATGAAATAAACGATGTTTCAACATTTTTACTTCACACTTTGACTGAGACCCAGAAAAGATAAGAATATCAGAACAAGTACACGCAGTCAGGAAAATAAATCAGAATAAAGTTCTACATATAGCAAAGGCCTCACCTGTTCCGCCTGCCCACGGCTCATTACCAGGACTCTTCACATTAACTTCAAGAACGCCCTGTTTAGGGACGTTGTTGTACAGTAGGGTGATGCGGTGGGGGGCGGCGATGAGCGGATGGAACACCACCTCCCACATGTTGGGGTTCATGGGGCTCTGTCGGACGCTATGAGGAACATCCCTGTTGGCCACCCGGACAGATGCTGAGAGCTGGCCGGGTCCCACTTTGGCCATATTAATGCCGATCACTGCGGGACGATGGCAGATGGCTTCGGGCACGTTTACCACGTCTATTTTGGTCGTATCAAACACATGCATGGTTCTAGTAGAGTATAATCTGCAAACTCTCCTTTAGCATCGGTCCTAATCGGCGAAGAGTACCAAAACTTACTCATGTCCTTTATAGGAATGTACTCGATAGGTCCCTGTTTGCGTCAACACAAAGTGCGCCTTGTAGTCCTTGACCACGTACTTCACATTGTGGTTGTTGGGGTCCTTAATCTCCAGTCGATGGTTTTCAGATGGCAAATCCATGCAACTGGACGTCCCTATTTGCAAATACTGCGTTCCTTCCACCTGAAATGTGTTGTGAGTTTACAGAGCTTTAAACTTGACTCCTCCCAGCGTACCACTGAGCAGTGGAAGGGGCTTCCGACTACCGAAATGTCGTTGAAGGTGATGTTAACAAAATGATCCTCGGCAGTGAGGGGAACAAAGGTGACATCGTACAATCCTCTGGCGCAAGCCACCACTTCGGCCTTGATGGTGGTCTGTTGAGTGGACACAACCAGCTCCAAAGTGCCTTCTCCTGCTTGGGCAGCATCCACACTGAATGTTACGGGTTTGCCAACTTCAGCAGGCCCCAGTTCGCTGAAGAGACAAGCAGAACAGACGTTGAAAATAGTCATTGAAATTGAAATAGTCAATGAAAGAGCTTCCACCTTAGGGACAGATCGCTCATGGACAGGTTGAGGTCGCTTTTCTTTCCAGGCAAACCAGTAACGATCACTTTGTTCACATCGTAAACGTTGCAGCTGAATGGGGAACCAATCACGTGCTGGTCATTGATGAGAATGGCCACAGAATGACGCCCAACCATATCGGGGATGAAATGCGCCGTGTAGACGTCGCCTATGGTGGACAGTTTAACTGGGATTATTTTTCCTGTGGGCGCTGTCACTATTACTTGAGGGACTGCACCTGAAAGCATTCATAGTGGTAGGCAGGCAACAGAATATTTCGAATGTAGAACTAAAAAATGTTTTAGATAAGTTCTATATTGTTGAGGCGGATTCATTTTTTTACAAACTTCTTTTTGGGTATTTTGCCTACAAAATTTTTGTCTTTAAAAAAGACAGAATTTTCTCACCTCTTTTATTACAGATTGATAAATAGTGCTCCTATTTCGCAATAAGAACGAATTATTTATCGAAAAGTAATCAAGAACTATCATCTAGAGGATGTCCTGCGACACACTTAGGCTCAAGCTGTAAGAGAAAATTCCAATTAGTAGAGAAATTAATTTGAAAAATTACCTTGACGTTTCGATAGCTATTTTCTGCTATCGTTATCAAAACAACCTAAATGAACCTAAAAAAGAGTATGTTAATAAATTGTGTAACAATAGTAGGATAATACAGTATATGAAAATTCGCTCTGACAATTCGTCTGTGCAAATTGTCAGTTATGTGACTTTGACTTAATCTCATTGTTTAAATTAATAAAGATAATGTTAATTAATAATTTTGGTGTAAATTTAATTCGGGTGTAGGTTTCTCTGGTCTACTTCAGATTTTAGCATAGGTAACCATGTATGACTTAAATTAAATGAACATGAAGCAACACAATTATTTTGATTTAGTAAAA